GGACTGCAGTGTGTGTGTCATCCCGCTGTGTGAGTGTCTGGCAGTGGCGTCCCGGGGTCATGCGGGGACTTCAGTGTGTCATCCCGCCGTGTGGTGTCTGGCGGTGGCGTCCCGGGGTCATGCGGGGACTGCAGTGTGTGTGTCATCCCGCTGTGTGAGTGTCTGGCGGTGGCGTCCCGGGGTCATGCGGGGACTGCAGTGTGTGTGTCATCCCGCCGTGTGAGTGTCTGGCGGTGGCGTCCCGGGGTCATGCGGGGACTGCAGTGTGTGTGTCATCCCGCCGTGTGAGTGTCTGGCGGTGGCGTCCCGGGGTCATGCGGGGACTGCAGTGTGTGTGTCATCCCGCCGTGTGAGTGTCTGGCGGTGGCGTCCCGGGGTCATGCGGGGACTGCAGTGTGTGTGTCATCCCGCCGTGTGAGTGTCTGGCGGTGGCGTCCCGGGGTCATGCGGGGACTGCAGTGTGTGTGTCATCCCGCCGTGTGAGTGTCTGGCGGTGGCGTCCCGGGGTCATGCGGGGACTGCAGTGTGTGTGTCATCCCGCCGTGTGAGTGTCTGGCGGTGGCGTCCCGGGGTCATGCGGGGACTGCAGTGTGTGTGTCATCCCGCCGTGTGAGTGTCTGGCGGTGGCGTCCCGGGGTCATGCGGGGACTGCAGTGTGTGTGTCATCCCGCCGTGTGAGTGTCTGGCGGTGGCGTCCCGGGGTCATGCGGGGACTGCAGTGTGTGTGTCATCCCGCCGTGTGAGTGTCTGGCGGTGGCGTCCCGGGGTCATGCGGGGACTGCAGTGTGTGTGTCATCCCGCCGTGTGAGTGTCTGGCGGTGGCGTCCCGGGGTCATGCGGGGACTGCAGTGTGTGTGTCATCCCGCCGTGTGAGTGTCTGGCGGTGGCGTCCCGGGGTCATGCGGGGACTGCAGTGTGTGTGTCATCCCGCCGTGTGAGTGTCTGGCGGTGGCGTCCCGGGGTCATGCGGGGACTGCAGTGTGTGTGTCATCCCGCCGTGTGAGTGTCTGGCGGTGGCGTCCCGGGGTCATGCGGGGACTGCAGTGTGTGTGTCATCCCGCCGTGTGAGTGTCTGGCGGTGGCGTCCCGGGGTCATGCGGGGACTGCAGTGTGTGTGTCATCCCGCCGTGTGAGTGTCTGGCGGTGGCGCCTCGGGTCATACGGGGACCGCAGTGTGTCATCCCGCCGTGTGAGTGTCTGGCGGTGGCGTCCCGGGGTCATGCGGGGACTTCAGTGTGTCATCCCGCCGTGTGAGTGTCTGGCGGTGGCGTCCCGGGGTCATGCGGGGACTGCAGTGTGTGTGTCATCCCGCCGTGTGAGCGTCTGGCGGTGGCGTCTCGGGTCATGCGGGGGTTCTTACAGTAGCTGAGCTAGTCAGAGGAGTATTTCTCAGGTTGTCCAGGAAGGAAGGGGCATCCCTTGGCTTAATTGGGTTTAGGGCAAATACTGATTTTAAAACAGTAATCTTTGCTCTGGATTACAGTGCAATAGTATGCTCTTTTGGAATAAAAAAAAGAAAAAATATTGAAGGAAGAATGTACGTAATTTGGTACAGGTGGGGTGATTGCTACCACGCAAGAGGACTTTCCCGTTCACAAAGGGTTTCACGGTGCTTTACATCACCAGGGCCTCTTAGTGCGCCCACCCAGGAGTCAATTTCCTTCATGTGATTCACACCAACTTTCCAGGAAAGGGTGTCCTGCTCCCCATAGTCTTGTCACCCCTGCCCTTCTTGCAAGATTCCCTAGAGCTTTGAGCTGAAGCAGCAGAATCCTGGAACGGGCACAACGTAGCTGCTACAGGCTGTAAGATGCACCATGATTTTATACGCCACCAAGAAAGAAAAAGCACCGCCAATTTTAACTATCAGATGCAACTGACTGAGAAGCATATCTCTATTTCAGAGATATTAAAATGTGAAAAAAAAAACCCAGAAGATTCTTAACAATACAGGTAAGTATGGGCCCACTTTTTTGATAAATATAGTACAGTACAGTAAATAGTTTCTCTTCCCTAGACTTTCCTAACATTTTCTTTGCTCTAGCTTTATTGTAAGAATATGGCATATAATATATACAACAGACAAAATATGTCTTAATTGACTCTGTTACCCATAAGGCTTCTGGTCAATGGTAGGCTATTACTAGTTAAGTTTCTAGAGAGTCAAAAGTTATATGTAGATTTTCAGTGGCCCGGGGGGTTGGTGCCCTGAATTGTTCAAAAGTCAATGATACTTCTTAGAATCACTGAAAGGTAGTGTTTGAGGACCTGGGTCAGCTGGATACTAATGGCAGAATGAGAGCATACCAATGGCACCAATCCCAAGTTATACTTGGCTTAATTTTATTTATTATTTCTTGTTTGTGAAAGAAACCACTAGTGTGTAGGCTCTGTGGGGCAGACACTGGGTGTGTTTTGTTCACTTCTGTATCTCCATCACCTTGTTCATGGTTGGGGTTCAACAAATATTTGCTGAATGAATTAAAAAAAACAAAGAGCCACATTATAAAACATGTGGAAAACCCAGAGAAGAACATAAATCATTCATAATTCCCCCACTGTGGGTATTTTGGCTTATTTCCTTCGAGCCTTATTTCCTATGAATATGCTCTTTTATATACATGTAAACATAATTTATTATTAGATTTAGCTCCGGGATGTGTTTTTGTATTTCTCTATTAATATGAATGAAACGATGATATAAGATGATGCAGAAATGCTTTGAAGATTTGTAAAATGTTTAAGCAAATATCTTATTATTAGTTATAATAATCATAGCCATACTGCTATGAATGAGGCCGATTTTCTGAGAACACACTTCAAAGCAAACAACAAATTTGTTCTCTGACGCCGGGAATGTGCTGTCCCTGCGTCCTGTTCACTGTGTTTTGTTTTGGGAGGAGAAAGAGGCTGATGGTTTCTTAGAAGCTCAGGCTCCAGCTTCCCACTCAGCCCAGAAATTTCTTTACTGTCACCAATGGAAGGTAAATCCTTGCCTGGGAAAACTCAAGCCTGCCAAAAGAATTTACTATCTGCTCGCACCTATACCTGAAGATCGGGCCTGTCTCCTTGTCTTGATGGGCAGATAGGAGCCTAACTCTGGCAAATGCCAGTTAGCAACCCAGGTGGGTTTCACATGGACTATCCCCCTTCCTTCTCTGTCATTTTTCACTTCGCTGACTCTGCTCCAGGCCCCTCTGGTCCCCTCCCTTCCCTTTCACGTCTCTTTAAAATGTCCAGTCACCTCTGTATAAATTCACATTGAGTCCCATTCATGTTGAACCCATGCCCCTACTGCAATGGTATATTTTTGGTTAAAATCTGTCCTTGTCACTTTAACTAGTGTCTGGCTTTGCTTATCACTGGCAATCCTCAAAGAGGCAAACAGCTTGGGTTCTGGGCTCATCAGGGCTGCGTGTCCATCTGCATGTCTTGACTTATTAGTCTATGTTCTCACTCTTCCCGACTTAAATCCATAGCCCTGAACTTGGCTCCCAGCTGTCTGCTTCATGCCCTCCTTCTTTGTCCTTAAAGATGAGGCTTTCTGGTTGTGCCACTTGGTTCCCACCTGGCACTCCCTTGGCATGCTCATTTCTGCTCTCCCCACCTGCCTCAGCCTCTGAGGCCTGTGCAGGCCAGCCAGACTCCCAGCCTCCTCTGCTCCTGTCTTAAAGCCAACATGCCACCCACCGTGTGCTGCAGTGGAGGCTGATCTTGGCCTTTAGCAAGTACCCAGGCATTAAGTACAAGGAACAGTTTGGGGGGCTCACACCACCAATGCCTTCCTAGGGATTCAAAGGCATAACTCACTTAGAGATTTAAAGCCAGTTTCTAGGAGCACCTGGGTGACTCAGTCGGTTAAGCGTCTGTCTTCAGCTCAGGTCATAATCTGACAGTTCATGAGTTCGAGCCTTGCATCGGGCTCTCTGCTGTGAGCACAGAGCCTGCTTTGGATCCTTTGTCCCCCTTCTTCTCTGCCCTTACCCTGCTCTCTCTCTCTCTCTCTCTCAAAAATAAATAAACATTAAAAAAATAAAACTGGTTTCTAATACAGAAGGTCATTTTATAAAGTGGCTAAAGGGCTGTGGTCGGTACTAGATGACAGATGACATTTGAGCCCAATTTTAAAAACAGCTGAGCACATGAGTTGCATGTGTATTTCTTCGCTGACCTTTCCTTCACTGTCCTGATTCTCCCATTCTTACCCTCTAGACCCAGTGCTTTCACCACTCATCAACCTCTCTCTTTGCCTCAGCCTCCCAGGGCAGGTTTTCTGGGATGATCTGTCTTGGGACTCGCAATCTCTCTAAGGTTTATTCCAGGCAAAGCAGGAGATAAGAGAAGAAAAGTGTCTCTGTATCTGTCTGCAGCCCTGCTTTGAGGTCTCCTCGCTATTGAGGATCTGTGAAGTTCTCCCTTCTGAGATGTGAAACCCACATCAGACATGAGGCTGCTCCAATCCTCACACCCCTGACACACAGAGTTGATGCAGCAGCCCTGGCCGGCTGGAGGGTCGCCTCCCTGGGGCGAAGCCAGAGACAGGGGACAGGAACAGATGCAAGGGGCTCCCCTCCACTTGTGCTCTCTTATGAGAGTGACGCTCCCATCTCTTTTCCTTTTTGTAGATCACTGTGAGTTATATCAATATGGGCTAGCAGATTCCCTTAGCATCCACTGACCCCCCTTCCCCCTCAAGAGATTTTTTTTATCCCCAGAAGGTTCTGGAAAAAACCCTCAACCAATTCAGTGAAAAAGAAACTAGGCTGGGTTTCTTTCACACCCTATTTTAGGAACCGACAGGTGGTATAGAAGAGGGTTACAGAGGTTAGCCGACACCTTTCCCTAATTTCCAGATGAACCCTTCTCTGGGACCCAGCCCTGCTCAGACCTCCTGAAGGCTCAGAGCCTTCCAGGAGTGGGAGTCCCATTTCTTCTCCTCACGCTCAGCAGGTGGCCAGCGTGGGCCCAGGACCACCAGTCCAGGGAGCCTAGGAACTTACCCTCTGCTCCTGGGTGGCCACGAAAGTCTGGAACCCTGGAGCCACCCCAAAGCCCAGCTCTTGGATGAAAGGCGGCTCAGACTGACTGTGGATCTGAACTTTCACTCCTGCTTCAAACGTCGTTTCCTCTGAAAGAACAAAGACAGACGAGCCATGGGTCAGTGACAGCAGGTGCTCACGGAGTCTTGGGATTGAGAAGCTCAAAGAATGAGAAGCTCATGTTAGAAAGGCCACATGGTGGGCAGCATAATGGCCAGCAAAGATGTCCATATCCTCATCCCTGAAACTGGGAAGATGTCACTTTGCATAGCAGAAGGGACCCTGCAGATATAATTAAGTTACGGACCTGGAGATGGGAAGGTTATCTTGGATAATCTGAGTGGCCCAATGTCATCACAAGGGTCCTCGTGGGAGGGAGGCAGGAGGGTCAGAGTCAGAGAACCGAAGAAAGTATGCAGCTAGCTTAGGACACGGAGGGAAGAGCCACAAGCCAATGGATGCAGGCAGTTGCTAGAAACTGGATAAGGCAGGGGGATGGATTTTCCCCTGGATGCCCCACAAAGAATGTAACCCTGCCAGCACCAGATTTTAGCCCAGTGAGATACATTTTGGACTTCTGGCCTCCATAACTGTGACACAACAAGTCTGTTGTTTGAAGTCACTGTTTGTGGAATCTGTGATAGTAGCGGTCAGAAGCTAATTCAGGCCAGATAGGCCAACTCTTTGTTTCAGTCTCCAAAACTATAAAATGGGATTATGAAATGAGTCCATCACCTTTAATTTGTCCACTAGCTTCTCTACTTGGCCATGAGCTGAAGGTGAGAGGATCAGGAGGAGGAAAACATGATGACACAGCAGTAGAAATGAAAATACAGGACTTGCTTGATGCTAAGGAGCCCATTCCTTGGAGCCATTCCTTGGAGCTTCAGGAGATGGGCAACTGGTAGAGAAGCTTTGGCCTCTCTTTAATTTGGCAAGAGAAATGGCCCCAGGCGGGGATTGGAGGTGGCAGGGGTGGTGGAAAGTGATGGGATAGCAAAGCCTGGCTCATCTTACAATGTTCAAAACTGATGGAGGACCCTTTATTGGGTCTCCTCTGTCTTACTCTTTCCAAATAGCCTGCAGAATGAGCTTTCCAAAATGCAAACCTGCACAGCTCTCTCCTGCACTGATAAGGAGCCCAGCCTCCGTAACCTGCTCCTGTTCCAGCCTTGTTCTGGGCAGCCTCCTGCTTCATGGCACCATGTGGTCCAACCCTCAGGGCTGCCCAGATTGATTGTTGCTGGTCTCTGCTCTGCATGGATGCACATGCATTTCTTTTTGCCTGGAAAGTCTTTCAACCTTGTCCACCCGACCAATTTCCCTATTCATCACTGAAATTCAGACCCCAACCCGACCCAAAGCAAACCCTTCTCTTGTTTGGTTGTATTCTTTCCATGTCTGATGAAGCTTCTGCCGCACCATGTGGGATAATCCTTTATCTGACAGTCTCTTTCACCAGGCTAGAGTATCCTGAGGCCAGTTCTGGGCTGTCTCCCTGAACCTCTAAGGTCCTGCACAGGGACAGGCATATAGCAGGTACTCAGGAAAGGGCTGCTGAGTGAATAAGAGATTCGCAACTCAAACCTCACCCAGTTATTAATGGGCAAGGCCAATCTGGAGTCCAAATCAAGGGGTGTTCTAATTGAAGGGAACAGAGGGACACCTGGGTGCCTCAGTCCGTTGAGCATCCGACTCTTGATCTCAGCTCAGGTCATGATCTCATGGGTCATGAGTTCAAGCCCTGTGCTGGGCTCTGTGCTGACAGTACAAAGCCTGCTTGGGATTCTCTCTCTCTTTCTCTCTGCCCCTCTCCTGTCAAAATAAAGAATAAGCTTTAAAAAGTAAAACAAGAGAATGGGGAGAGGATGGGTAAATGTAGGAATGAGGGAAGAAGGTGTGAGGGAGAAATGGAGGTCGAGGTCAGGGAGGGAGGAGTTGTTAGTACTGGGACTACAGTCTGTGGATGAACACCGTCAGAAGGAAGGACTGGGTCCAGGCATGGACAAGGCTCACGGACAGCATGGGGGCCGGTGATGGAGGCAGGGAGGGGGCAGGAGCTGGGAGAAGATTCTAAGGTAGGGGTACACGGGAAGAAGGGCTTGGTAGGTACCCAAGGGAGGGGTTGTGAGATCAGGAGCCCAGAGAACAGACTCAGATGGGGAAGGAGCCCATGGCGTGCTGCTGGGATCACAGGGGCGCCTGTGCTTGGATGAACTGAAAGCACATTCAGTGGCTGTGGGAGGCAGAATGGGAGACATGCCAAAACTTGTTTTCTGGAAGCTCTCGGAAGCTGCGTGACTCCTGTATAACTGAGCTTAGAAAACCTTAGAGCCAGTAAGGCAGGCTCAAAGGAGGGGTCCCCTGGCTTACAGGGAGAAAATGAAAAGTGAAGCCTTTCTGTCAGAAATGCTTTGAGTAATGGGAGAAGCAGACAGGCCAGGCATGCCTGCCTTGTGAGAGCTGCCCAAGGCCAGTCAGATTGGGCTGGGATTTGGAAGGGGAGTTTATTCCAGAAGCAGCAGGGGCTGAGGCAGAGTAAATTCCTAAATAATCTCATATCGTTACAAATATCCAGCAACAGGATGGGCACAGAATGAGAGTGATGGATATGGTTTCCACTCTCTTTAGAGAACTTTCTGCCCAGGTGGAATATTCTAGAATCCATGCTACCCAACATAGTAGCCGCTAGTCACATCAAGTGTGACAAGTGCAGCCGAGGAAGTGAAGTTTCAATTAATTAACTAATTAGTTCCCCCCAGCTTTACTGAGGTATAATTGACAAATTGTGAGATGAAGTATACAATGTGATGATTTGACACACGTACACATTTTGAAAGGGTTTCTCCCATCAGGTTAATTAAAACATCTATCACCTCACATATTTGCCTTTTCGGCTTGCTTTATTTATTTTTTATTGAATTTAAATTTAATCAATTAACTTAAATTTAAATAGCCACACGTGGCTAGTGACAACCTCAGTGGGCACTGCAGCTGTAGAATGTGGCCTATGAGCAGACCCCAGATGCCTCAGAGTGTCAGAGACCACAAGGATGCCACCTGTCTGCTTTCCTAAGCAGGTGCTCTTGGGGTCTCTGGTCTGGAGGCCTTGGGTGATTTGGGTGGGGCTCTGGGCAGCAGCGCTGTGTGTACTCCTGGCCAGCCCATGACTGGAGTCACAGACCCTCTCTGGTGCTGCTTCCCCAAAGCATTACTTATTCCCAGATAGTTTGTTTCTCTTCCTTCATGGACCTGCTCCTCAGCTTTCTGTGGGTTATCCCCCAGTCCGATTAGTGGACAGTCCCCTTCTAGTCTCTGCCCCATATCCACCTGCAGTCTCTTATGTTTCCTGCCTGGACATGGATGCCATCGGTGCAACTATGAAGACCTAATTTAAGAGCTGAAATTGTCAAACATAGACCGTCAGAGCCAAAGGCTCAGATCATGTGCTTCAGAGGCTCTCAAAATGGAATGCACACCAAAATCATGTAGGGAGCTGTGGGTGATGATTTTGTGGACCCACTCCTAGAAATTCTGATCTAGTCATTCTGGGGTGGAGCCCAAGTATCTGCATTTCTGGAGATTTGGCTATAGGTTATCTGAGGCCAAACACATTTGGGCAAGCAGTGATCTAGTCCAGAGAGGGGGAGTGATTTGCCCAAGGTCCCAGAGCAAGTCAAGGGCAGAGCAGGGGCTAGAAGTCAGGTCTCCTGATTTCCAATTAAACACTCTTTCTACCTCACTAGAGGTGAGGTTTATTTCCATGAGCAAATGTCCTGGTTCATTGCTCTGGGTTTCTTTTTATCTTTTTTTAAATTTTTATTAAAATTTCATTATTTATTTTGAGAGAGAGAAGGTGGAGAGGGGCAGAGATGGAGAGAGAGAATCCCAAGCAGGCTCTGCACTGTCAGCGCAGAGCCCAATGTGGGGCTTGATCTCACGAACCATGAGATCATGACCTGAGCCGAAATCAAGAGTCAGACACTTAGCCAACTGAGCCACCCAGGCACCCCCATAGCTCTGGGTTTCTGATTGGGGATTGGAGAAAGGGAGTAGCTCTTTCATTGCCTGTTCCCTAAAGCCCCCCAGCACAGAACCTGGAATGGAGTGGAGCTCAGTAATTGCTTGTGAATGAAGCAAATGGTGGGCAAGTGTCCTCTGCTGAGTCCACCTTTTCCTGCCCTTTGGCAGCTGGGAGTCTGCTCAGGGTCTGGCTGGACACAGGGAAATGCCAGCATCACACGCTGCCTGTCCATGTCACAGGACTCAGAAGGTCTCTCCCGCTGAGATGCAGGTGGGCTGCACATAAAACAACAGCAGCAGCCTCAGCATCTGTAACAGTAATAGTAACTAGGACCACCCACACAATTTTTGGGTTCCAGTGCAAAAAGAAAATGGAGGGTCCCTTATTTAAAAAGTATTAAGAATCTCAAGGCAGCCATTGCAGAGCCTTACACAGAATGTAGCCCTTCTGAGCACGGGGACCTGTGTGACTGCATGCGTTGCACACATAAGGAGCCAGCCCTGACAGTAAACCAGGTTGACGTGGGCATAATCATTCACAGCCTCATAGTCCCGTCATCACCAAATGACTCAGCACTGAGCTGCTTCAAAGAGTGCAGGCCCCTAGTGCAGCGAACGATTGGTTTACACATCATGAACACCAGGATTCAAAGCCCCCCGAGAGATAGAGAGAGCATGAGAGAGCACAGAGAAAGGGGAAGTTACTACATACAAAGTGTTAGGAGCCCTTGTTAATTGCAGCCAAACAGGAAAGATAATGTTGAAATCAGGAGGAAGGCAGTCAAGTGCGTTGACCCTGCAGCAGCTGGAATACTGTAGCACCTTTCAGGAGCACGGCCATTGCCGGCCCAAGGTAAGGTCTACCTGTAGAGCATTTTCTGTGTGTGCAGAAAGGCTTTGGAACCTCTGCGGAGGAGACCGGGAAGCAACGGGCAGAATGCATAATGGGGCTGGGAAAGTACATCGCAATAAAAGAAGCTTAAATCTTTAATCTTTGCAAATTACAGGAAGCATGCCGAGGAAATAAACACGAGGGAAGTAGGAAGGGAAGATTTTTTCTGAAAAG